ATTTTTTCCATTTTTTTTTTTTTAAAAGAAGAGACAGGGAGTAAAGCCTGTGACTGGACACGGTCACACACATGAACTCTGCCCCCCCCCCTTCTATGTTAATGTGAACGAGTTAGCACAGATGCAAATCCCTACAATAAGCCTGTAACCCTGGTGAATAAAGTGATGTCGTAATCCGGACGCGAGTACATAAGTGTAACTGTCCAAGAAAAAAAAAAAAAAAAGAAAAAAGAAAAGCCTTGTAGTCAACATGATACATTTCATTTTTTGAAAAAAAACAAAAAAAACAAAACAAAAAAAAACGAGGATATTCGAAAAACAAAAAAAACGACATGTTTCTGAATATTATCTGACTTCTTCATTTAAAAAAAGGTAAATCAAAATGTACAATATTGTTCATTTACTCTGTAATAGTTGAATGGAAATGAATGATAGATGCTTCCATGTAAGTTGCAAGTCTTATATAGTACTGAAAACGTTACTAACGCAAACGCCTAAGAATGCAAACAGTTGGAATCGAGCGACGTCGTTTTTATACTTTCAAATGATTGTTTCTTAAGATAGGGATTCTCCGTAAGTGAAAAAAAAAAAAAAAAAAAAAGAGAATAAATAACAGCACTAATATTTTTTATTCAATTCAACTATGTAGTAAGAAGGTAGAAGGTACTACTTCACCACAATCACCATTGGTTCTTCATCCACTAATTAGAAGATCACAAACGACCAAACGTCCTGTATTTCATTTTTGTTTATTTCTATATTTATATCATTTTGACTTCGATGTGTAATTATAGTTTTTGTTTTTAAAAAATAGGTCTAGAGCTTGTCACAAGAAAAAAAATACAGACAATGCATGTCAAAATGTATCTATAGATTAAAAAAAAAAAAATCACCGACTGTAGGGAGTACATTTTCTGTCTTTTAAGCTTTGGATTTGGAAAAAGGTCATTTTTCATGTTTTCATGTTTCATAACTTTTTTTTCCTGCACTTCAATGATTTCTACGCTGTTTAGGAACTGTTTCTATTTCTTTTAAACTGTTTCTGTCGCTGTTTATGAACTGTTTCTATTTCTTTTAAACTGTTTCTATTTTCTTTAAAATGAGAGTCACTGGACCCACTTTACAACCCTAGGCTTACCCGTGGTTTCCAAAACATATAAATATATAAAACATCTCCTGATGCACCCGAACGCATCATCGGTGACGTAGCTTGGATTCATTTTGGTATTTTGGGTCTTTCAACAGCCTCCAGCAGGTGGGTATAACATGGTTGATATACAGAGAACTTCAAGCCATTGGCGAGCCACCAGTTTATAATGTATTCCGTTCTTCGTGATCGGAAGGATGTCTAGCCTCAGAAGCCGCAGAGATCTGCTGCTAATAGAGCAGAGACTGCTGCTTCATTGCCATTGACATTGACAACAGTCCAGAAATGCAAGGTGTGAAAACCACCGGAAATAGCAAAACCCGAAGCACCTCCAACTGCTCGGTAAAACGCGTACAGCACTGGGCGTCGTCAGGCAATCTTTCATCCAAGTACTAACAAGAACCAAGACTGGATGGTACTAAATACAGTATCTCACCTCACCTCTACTTCGATATTTTTCCCATTTCGCAGTGAGTCTTGGAACGCAACTACCACGATAGGAGAGGGATTACTGTACATGTCACATGTCACCTGAGGTTTCATTTTGGGTTTAGTTTTGGTTTGGTTTTTTTTTTCCAAAGACTTTAGCATCTGTCAGGGAAGCGGAAAACAAAGCCGAGGATCCAGCTTTGAAAGAGATACTGTATGTTGTAATGGCAGGATAGCTCTTAGGATAGGACAGTGGCCAACTCTGACGACAGAGTCTACTTTTTCCTCCGTGGATGGCCCTGGTTGGAGGGTGCTTTCAGTAAGTTGTACTGCACCTGTAAAAAAAAAACAGAAGGTAAATCAGAGGCAGGTAATCTGAGCTCAGTGGAATGCACATTGATGGCGGGAATTGCGTTCAAGAGCGTTCGCGCGAGCAGAGGGGATTGGTGACACAGGGAAAGGAAGAGATGGACAATAGGATACATGAACTTTGAGATGGTTTTCGGGATCAGTCAGAGAAAAGCAAAAAACATAATCCAGTTAATCCAGAGTTAAAAGTAAGTAAGAGTTATAGTTAAGTTGATATCAGTAGGTACCAGAGGTGTGGACTCGAGTCGCATGACTTGGACTCGAGTCAGACTCGAGTCATCAATTTGACGACTTTAGACTCGACTTGACAAAATGTAAAGAGACTTGGAACTCGACTTGGACTTTAACGTCAATGACTCGTGACTTCACTTGGACTCGAGCCCTTTGACTCGACAAGACTTGAGACTTTCTTCAAAACCCAAAGATTATAAAATAAGTTATTAAGGAGCGTCTTTGTGCGTATTTGCTGTTGGCACAACATCCAATCAAATTAGACCCGCGTCTAATGCGCGGGTTAGGGAAAAATGGTACCAAAGATCGTGTTGTTCGGATTTAAAAACTACGATATGGTCAACAAAAAAACGAGTGGCAGTGAGTGGAAGGACTCGAAAGGACTCGAAAACAGAAACGGCAGGACTTGGGACTTGACTTGACACTTTTCAGTCTTGACTTGGACTCGACTCGGACTTTGCCTATTTTGACTTGAGACTTGATTCGGACTTGAGTGCAAAGACTTGGTCCCACCTCTGGTAGGTACTGCATAAAGCTGCATAACTAAACTTGACAAGTTTAAAGGCAAGAACAAGAACAAAAAAAACCAAAAAAAAGTCAATATATTTTAGTAACTATTAGGACTTTGGCTAATGTCCGTTATGCTTAAGGGACATTTGCTGCTATTTTGTATACAAAGCTGGACTCCTTACCTTTTGAACATCTGAAGGTACCCTCTTGAGGAATTCGACTATTCCATTGTTATCAACACTGTACGGGTTGCGTAGCTTCTTTGTGAATTTGTAAACACCTGTAAGGAGCATACGTTAACTATAAAAAAATGGCGTATTTTCCACCAAACCACAAAAACCACCGCTGCCCCAAAGGTAAAACTACATAGAATATGAATAGGAAAAAGTAACTAAATTAAATGATGTTTTAGGACATAAAACTTACCCCATGTCAGGACTATATACCTCAGTGGGATGCAGTATAAAAGCAATGTGGACGCAAACAGCATTAAGAAGGTGAGGCAGGACAGAAAGGGGACAGACCAGTTAAATATGCTGTAAAAAAAAAAAAAAAAGAATTGATGAAGTCATTTAGAAATAATAGTATAACTACATTACATTCAATAACGAACCAAAAAGGGAATTGCGTTACTTTTTGATTCGCTCTCCGATGTTCCCGATTTCATCCAGAACATTCTGAACAACCAGTACAACTTCCTGCACCATATGTATCTTGTCCATCAAGCCTTTTTTGGCAGATTCCTTAAAGAGAACGAAAAAGAGAACCAAAAAATAAATATAACATTTATTAAATAAATATAAATATATTTATTAAATAAATATATTTATATAAATACAATTTATATTTATAT